TTCACACAGAAACTAAATAACGACAACAACGATGAGAAAAAAAATAGAATCAGTCTTCCTATGTCAACTCTCTCAACTCTCTAACTAGCTTCAGTGATGACAATAACACGCTGATAAGCTAATTTCTTATCCCCGAGAATATGCATCAAAATTTAGTTTTTTGCAAATTTTGGATATTTGTAATGTGAAATAACCTTTTTCCCAATACGATAGTCATCATGATAGAGGGAGAAATAAGCACTTGCATGAAAGTACGTAATCATGCAAGATTAAAACATCATATCTCAGGAGAATCGATTTCAGTCTCACAGTGTCTATTGGAAACACATCTGTCATTCCTCGCCAGATGGTTTACTCTTGTCAGGAATGTGACCGTAAAATAGCAGTATCCATACATCATATAATCAAACTGCTGGTGGGTAGCATACAAATCACAAAAATACGAGGGAGCAATGGTGCCAAAGTGTAGATATTACTTTTCAGGTCACTGCAAGCCACACGAATGTTTTCACAGTTCTGTGAAATTTCCGATCATGCAACTAGATTACCGTTGCCCAGTTTGTTTTGCCCTAGTTCTATATCATCGGTGGGTGGGTGTGGTAAAAATATAAATAACTAGGTTAAGATGCATTCAAACGATCATGCTGATGTACTTCGTGTCAAAAGGGTTCAGTGATTGATGAGTTTGTTATCAGGTAGGTGGTTGATACGCATCGGATAAATGTGCTAAGGTCACGAATTCGTTTTCTGCAGTGGCAAGCTATATCTCAACGGCTTATTGTAAAGAAAAAACGGCCAAGTGCTTTGCTTAACCTTCACTCTCTTCAATGCAATATTTGCCACCCGCTTAGGTTATCTATTTATTATTCTTTAACAGTGTTTTTATGGTTGTTCTATAAAAAATCTAAACTAGTAAAATAGCGAGCAACAATAAAATGACTCATGTTCATTCAGTTTGAACAACTTGCCTGAAATCGTTTGTTTGTCTCACATTCGGTAGTAGTCAGTGACGCTAAGCACCACTCAACCCGATATCCTCGAAAGTAACCTTGGACTTGCGCTTCCTGAGCGGCGGAAATCGTTTGCCATTGGAGCTGTGCACCCCGGGCAGTGGCAGCCAACACCGTCGGAACTGGTGGAACAATGGTTGGAACGGCCTCACCAGAAAAACCGTAAGCCAATGTGGGCGGTGCTGTGCTCACACCTTTCTCGTTTAGACTTTGAATTGTCACCTGAAACAAATGTGAGATAAAATATGTGTGAGTGAGAGAGTGAGTGAGCACAAAGCAAATTTCTATAATCAGTGATTTGACGTTATACTTAACTTAATTCAGTCGCGAGAATGAGTAGTTAGATAGAGAAGAGTGACTGGCAAGAGAGAAGCAGAACTAGATATATCTATCTTTCCTATGAGTAACGGATGATTTGGTTCAATTTCAAAGGCGATATTCGTCGTGAATATAGCAAATGAAGCGTGAACCGAAAAGCTAAGAAACACTGGACAACTTTTTCGACCTGNNNNCCAACCGAGTCATAATCTCGGAGACTAGTGCTGAGATGAGCGAGATATGTGGCCTGCAACAAACTCGTAAAGATGGGTTGTGCTATATTGTGTAAATGGAAAATGAAAAACGGTCTGATCAGCTACCCGGTGGACGAGTGAGTAGCATGCTTGCGTTCTGCCAGTGAGGTTCCGGGTGCGATCCCCAGTTGGATCAATGGATTCACACTGCTGATGAGACCCAACCAGGTCGAAACAGCAATCCAGTGCTTCCT